ATATTTGAGCTCACTGACTTGCATGTTTCTTCATATTTACAAGAGAAATCATGGTGCAAAGATATAATTAGAAAGAGGTTGCCAAAGTGAGACTTGAGGTTTTCCCCACCCCTCTGTCTCTGAGAGAGAGGGAGGGAGGGAGGGAGGGAGAGCTGAACAAAGGCAAACAACTTTTGCTGTAAGTTGATGCTTTTGCACAGCTCAGCAGTTTTAATTCATTTGCACTAGACAAATAAAAAACATCTCAGCTAATGCATTCAGTTAGCCACATGTACTAAGAGATAAACTGATCGGAATATTGCTAACCAGTAGATGACCAGGTTAATATTGTTAAGAATGGGCTGTGAGAAGTTTGGGGAGGTGGGGGTTGGGGGGGGGCGAAAGCAGACATTAGCAAAGTTTGGTTTATTGTTTATATCGTTTTTGACAGAGCTGGAAACAAGCATTACTGTCAAGTACTCCTCCTTATCCCTTCCCCCTCCCCCCCTGTGCTCAATCATTACTTAGCTTAGATTCTTACTTGTGTTAATGTCCCTTGTAGGAGTTTAATTGGAGAGTTTCAACTTCGTGCCAGTTTACAAGCTAGCCAGGGTTTTTAACATTTTTTCCCCCAGCCTGCCTGTTTTCCACAGAGAAGTGGAAGATAAGGTTAATTAGGAGACAGGTGGTCCAAGAATCACTAGTGAATTGCATTGCTGAACAAAGATTAGAATCAAAGTTCCTCCTGTGTATACTATAACCCATATTTCTAATTACTGTAACAAAGTAGCTGCTATTGCCAACTAATGGGATACAGTGTTGAGGCGGTTGCAAGGACTTTTGCCTGAGCTTCACCTGGTAAACAAATTAAATTGTGTTTGGTTTATTTATTTGATTTATGTCCCACCTTGTCAGGAGCTCAAGGTGGGCACAGTGTGTTCTCTTTTCCTTGGTATTCTATCCCACAAAAAGGATGCAATCCAAACATGTCATTCATTTGAATTAACTTGCACATGGGTGCACACGATGATTCAAAGTGTCCTCCCCCCCCTTCCTTGGCACCTGCCAACTTGCCTTCCTAGGGAAATTGCTTTACCAAAAATAAAAAGATGACATACCGAAAACAAAATGTCAACCTCCATCATGACTTTTTTTATTTACAAAAATGCCTTTGTAATCCAAATGGGCCCCAGAAATCTCCTTGGAAATAAACATTGTGAAGGAAACCTCCAGTGATTTGAGGCAGGTACATACACCTCTGCTTGAAAAGCATAAATGTTGCATAAACTAGGAACCACCTAGATGGATACTTCTGAGAGGAGGTAGCAAGATGTTTGTTAAATTAGGGATTTACACAGCAGACATTTTATGAGCAGAAAACTCTATTCACAAGCAGTTACTTTGGAAGAATGCCTGCCATATTCCTGAAATTCCAGTTGCAATCACCCGTCCACCAAAATGTGAAGCCTTTCGTGCTTAGGCATGGTTTTGTTTACCAAGATTTATTGAACTGCCTTAATTCACACAACATATTGACAATCATGATTTCCCCAAGGCATTAGGGACTTGGATAATACAAGCATGCTAAGTGAAAACCAATGACATTGTGGCTTAGCTCCCTTTTAGAACGAGATTGAGAGTTTCAAAATGCAAATTAAATAAGTTGTTAGGTACATTCTATGTGGACAATGACAACAAATTGACCCTTTTCCTTTGGGAAAAAAGTGGGAAATGTCTCTTGAGATATTAACCATTTATAGTTTTTAATATCTTCCATACATTTAAAATAATAGATCCATTTAAATTCAGGGCAACTTTTATTTTATTTTTATTTATTTTTAATTTTATTTTTAAATTTATATACCGCCCTTCTCCTGAAGGACTCAGGGCGGTGAACAGCCAAGGTAAAAACACAAAATACAAAATACAAAATTTAAAAGCAATTTAAAATAAATTAAATAATTTGGCCCAACAGTTTAAATACCCCATTAAAATTCAGATTAAAATTAAACAGTTTAAAAATTTAAAAAATTAGGCCAGCCCGGCTTGGTGAAATAAAGTCTTTCGGGCCCGGCGAAAAGTTCGTAAGTCCGGGATGGTCCGTATCTCCGGGGGGGAGCTCGTTCCAGAGGGCAGGTGCTCCCACAGAGAAAGCTCTCCCCTATTAATTGGATAAGACAAATCTATGCATATGTCTTAGATTTGTATTTCTATGATTACATAAAAACACTAATATGGACAGTATGCATGGATTTCTCTTCAATTACAGTGTAGAAGTTTTTATTAAACTGCTTATGTGCCATCAAGATAGTGCTGACTCTTCGCAATCACATAAATTTTCTCCAATAATTATAGTACATTTATTATTTGGATAGAGTAAAAACAAAGTCACCTGTACTGCTATTAATACAATAAACATATTTATACATCAACTGAACCACAGTCTGCTAAACTATGGTTTACTGAACTGGATTCATATACTATATGATGTAATGCCTGATTTAGATAACAAGTTAGAGTATAATATGGTTTGCATCATTGTGGTCTAGTGCAATGCATGTACCCAGCCAATGATATGCAGGGAGTAAGGAATGTTCCTTTAATTGTATACTTCAACATAACAAAGATCTCACAAAACATTGATGGAGCATAACCAATCAGCTGCACAAACATATCCATTTTCGCCAAGACTTGTGATGAAAACAATATTTGGAAGACACAAATCACTCAGTCTGATTGTACCAACCCCACTATCCAGCCATTTCTCACTTTTTCAAATTTATTCTTCCATCAGAAGGAATTTATTACTGTGATGGATAATACAGGAACAATAAATTCTGAAGACTGTATTTAGTCCTTTAGTGTCCTTTGTTAAAAGTTCATCAGATGCAAAATCTTAGTATTGTCTAAAAGCATTTTCATTAGCAATAACTATATAATGAAGAAAGCTGAGATGAGAAAAATACAGTGAAATTTTCACACACACAATTATGCTAGGGAGAAATTGATATAGAGACAATATATATAGAGGTCAAAGCTTTGAAAGGGGAATACACAATCTAAACAAAAGAACTTTGTCACAGTATTTGTTCTGAATTTTTCCAAGCTTGAATCTTCAGGGTCAACAGGGCAGAGTTGAAATAATAGGGGAAAAAGCAATAGTATATATATATATATAAAAAAACAATAGAAATGCAGCAATACAAACATTATAGTTATTAAAATTTGAACACACGTCAGTTTAGTCTCCAACTTAAATCAGTGGGATTTATAAGTGCTTATAATACTGGATGAAATATAAATATGTATGGATAAATTTTAATACAGCCTTCCCCATCTTAGCCCATATAAAGTGATTATAGAAACTGTAGTCCATCTGGAAGGTACCAGATTGGTGAAGGCTGATTTTAAGATATTAAATGAATCACAGTATGATTTCAAAAACCTGCAAATCATGAATCTGCTGTTTTGGCACTTGGATCTATGACACAACAAATATCATTTATCTTTCTGTGATGGAAGTGCAGAAGGCACTGCAGTGTTCACAGTTATTTAGCCATTATCTATTTTTATATTTTATTGCAGCATAAATATTACTAGCATTACTTGTATTTTATTACTAGCACAAGGATTACTAGCATTCACAAAGACTCAATTCCTACATCCATATTTACTTACATTAAGCCCTATATTCTAGCTGGATATCAAGCTATCACTTAGAGGTGATCAAAAGAACATCTCCTCCACACATTTTCAAATTTTAATGAACGTGGTTACCTACTATATTTGTTCCTGAGTATCATACACTGTTTTATTCAAAACTGTTTTTCTTATGCATTACCCCAAACTCTTTTCCTCTAAAGAAGTGAGGTCTTAATAAAAAATTTAAAAAAAACACACATTTGTTTGGGAAACATTTTGGGAAAAGGCAAAACCACAAGCACCACATACAGGAAAGGCACAATGGGAATGCAACATTACCAAACAGTATTCACACAACATGCAATCAGGCACATAATTTGACACAAAAATATTAGGTGGTTTTATTGCCTGTGCCTTTTTTCATATCCCTGAACCACGGGAAGAGATATAGTGAAATGCGAGTGTATATTTATTGCCATAAAAAAATAAAACAAACTTAGCAAGCTAATACATATACGTCTATATATACATAATTTCTCCTATATTTGTGTGTACATATAGCTGAATGAAGCAGCAGAGAAGCTGAGGGGTGTGTGTGTATATATGTATGTATGTATACATGTGTGTTTGTATAAATATATGTGTATGTATGTATGTATACTGGTATGTATACCGGTATGTATGTGTATATCTATATCTATATCTATGTATCTATATCTATGTGTGTGTGTGTTTGTATGTATGTGTATGCATATGTATATATGTGTATGTATGTATGTATATATACACACACATACATATATGTATATATGTGTGTATGTATGTATATACGTATATATATATATATGTGTATATACATATGTATATATGTAACTTAAGACATATATATATATGTATACATATACAAAATTATATATATACACACACACATACCGTACATGTATGTACATATGTACACATGTGTTTATGTGCATCTATTTATAGGTTTTTGAGGAAATCGTTACAAAACCCTCCCAAGGTATAAAACAACCCGAAAACAATAACAGATTATTATTATTATTATTTTAGAGAAGAAGATTTCTGCCCAGCTTCCCTCTCAAAAGGCCTTCTGTGAGGAGGTGTGGCCGGAGCGAAGCAAAGCAACCCCAGCCGCCTTCCCTCACCCTTTCCTCGGCCGGGTATCCCCGCACCCCCTACCCCCCAGGGGTAACCGAACTATATATAACCCGTCATCCTCGGCCAAGTGCCGCGGATGATGGATGTTGTCGTCCTGCGCTTCCGAAAGGAGGGCACCGGCCGGGGAAGGCAGGCGGAGCAGAAACACTCCCCGGCATTTCGGGGACAGAGAGAGAGAGGGGGGGGGGCAGAGTCAGACCCACCTGCCTCAGGACTTTCCGGCAGTTGCTACAGACCCGGCGCCCGTGCCCGCTGCTGTGGCCGTCGCCGGGGACCGTCGGAGGGCAAGACGTGGCGCCGCTGCTTCTGTTCATGGTGCAGCCGGCGAGCGGGGGGGCAGAGGAGGGAAGCGGTGGAGGGCTCAGCGTCCGGCTGGCTTCGGAGCCCGACGGCGGCGACTGCAGCCCCAGCAGAAGCGCCTCCGGCCGCCGCCCCCTCCCCCCCGCCCCTTCCAGCAGCGCCGCTTGGCTTCCCCAGCCCAGGAACAGCCACTTCCATCCCTCTCTCGCGCACACCCCTCCGCCGCGGCCAATCGCCGCGCTCCGACCACGCCCCCTCGCTCACCCCGACCGGCCAATAGAAACGCCGCGAGAGCGCAAGCCAATCCGGGCTCTTCTCTCTCGGTCCTCATCTCCGGGCAGTCTCCGAGTGAGGGGCGGGAACCCCCAGAAGGTAAAAGGGGGCGGGGCGGAGAGGGAGGCGCACGTCCAGCTGGAAGTTTTGGAGGCTGGGCTTCGTCTCCTCTTTCCAACCAATCAGAGGCGCCTCTGTCAAGGGAACCAGGGAGAGCGCGCGCGCGCGCACGAGGGCGGTCACGCCCCCCTTTTGCAGCTCCCGGGGAAGGAAGAAAGCAAAAAAAAAGCACAGCTTAGTTTAGCTTCCAAAAAATGGGAGCAGAAAATGATTAAAGTCTAGTCTCGTTTTTACAAGGAAGGGGGTTTGTGTTGATTGCGCAATGGTTTGTTCCATTCTTCCACAAATCCGCCAGATATTCAGACTCCAGCTCCCATTATTCCCAATCAGTTCAGGGCATTGTAGTCAGATGCAACTAGGAAGACACAAGGTTGTAAAAAGCTTGCTCTAGCTTTTGGGGCTTGTAATAACGTGCAAAGATACAGCCTTACCGCTTGGGTTCACAGTGTGAGAATAGAATGGAATGGAATGGAATGGAATGGAATGGAATGGAATGGAATGGAATGGAATGGAATAGAATAGAATAGAATAGAATAGAATAGAATAGAATAGAATAGAATAGAATAGAATAGAATAGAATAGAATCTTTATTGTCACTTTAAATGGACACTAATCAGCATACATTAAAATGAAATTTCATTGAATTCAGCTCTCAAAAGATAACCATTATGCATATACCCACATATGCACACACATATATGACACAGAGAAACAGTGCAGTCTATTTGAATGTATACATATACATGGTGGGAAAAAAAAGAATCCTGCAAATTTAGCAGATGAATAGCATAGGGAATAAAGCTGTTACAGAATATGGTAGTCCTGCTAGAAATACTTCAAAACCTCCTCCCAGAGAGGAGCAACAGAAACAGACTGTAAATAGAATAGAATAGAATTTTATTGGCCAAGTGTGATTGGACACACAAGGAATTTGTCTTGGTGCATATGCTCTCAGTGTACATAAAGGAAAAGATACGTTCATCAAGAATCATAAGATACAACACTTAATGATAGTCCATAGTATGCTTTAATAAAAGAGCAAAGGAAGCTGCAAAACATGGTTTATAAACTAGAACATGATTTATATAAACTTGAACATGGATTTATATAAACTTGAACATGACTTATAAACTAGTGTCCTAAACTAAAAACAAACAAACCATGTTACAGCTGAATAAAATACATGTATACCTTGAGTTTGTCTCACTGAGGCCAGCTAAATTGGTAAGAGATACAGCCCTATGCTTGGGTTCACAGCAGTAATGGGTTGCTACCGATTTGCCCCAGATAGGGCGAACCCGCAGTGGCGGGAGGAGGCTCCGCCTACCCACCCAGATGCTTCTGCGCAGAAGCATTGCATGTGCGTGCACACCCACGAGTGAACTGGTAGCGATGGGTTTTGAAACCTACTATTGGTTTACAATCCATAATATGCTTTAATAAAACAGCAAAGGAAGCTACAAACCATGATTTACAAACTAGGACATGATTTATATAAACTTGAACATGATTTATAAACTAGTTGTCTAAACTAAAAAAAAAAAAAAAAACCACCATGTTATAGCTGAATAAAATCCATGCATACCTTGGATTTGTCTCACTGAGGCCGGTTAAATTGGAAAGAGATTGCTATCTTGGTGATAAGGCCCATTGAATGAACAAGATTCCATTTATAGGTCAATTGTGTGGATTTGCATGAGTTTGTTTTTAATTTTGTTCTTGCCTGTTGTGCTGAAGGGTTGGGCAAAAATGATCCCAAGAAAGAAATACAGTACGATGTTTGTTACAGAAGCACATATGCAAGCCTTGCAAGGAGGATTATTGAAAGAGCTTTTTTAAAAAAAAAAAAAACCCTGGCTTTACTGAAGCCATTGAAATCCAGGAAGAATGCAAGTATTTCGGATGATTCTACAGCCTGTCTACCTTTAAAATGCACAAGTATGTTTGCTCAAATAAAAGGAGCAAACTCAAAGGTACTAATGGGGGAATTCCCGGTGTCTCTTGAGAAAAACAAAAACAGGAACCCTGTAATGCTAAGAGAGGAGGCAGACAATGACATGACTCTTCTGATCACAAAGACTGGGCTCAACTGAGTATGTTTAACCCAATCACTGCCAATAGCAATGCTGGCTCACAAGAGGAAACTAGGGAGAACAGTACAATAACTATAAACAAAATCAAGAGACTGAGAATCCAGTTGCTGCTGAACAAAGCTGAGATTCGCAAATGCTGTGCCCTGAAGGCCTAATTTAAGCCCAAAACATATTGGGGTACAGAAGAAAGAATTTATATCTCCTTGGCAGCGCAGCCTGAGCATAAGCCCAGTGTGGGTGCTTTGGATGACACATCAAAGAGCATTGGTATACATGATGCAACTCTTGTATTAATATCACAATGACATAAATCACATTTTTGTTGAAAGCTTTTCCCCCTAGCAATGAAACAGTAGCAGCTGGCCTGGGTAATGTTTTACAGTCTGCTCAATGCTTTCTGGACTGTACCACTTCAGAATACAGGTGGGATCTTACATGAGGATGCTCAACAATTCAAACGATCCATCTGTGGCATGGCTGTGGGACTATGCAAGAACTTGTAGATTCAGGCAATTTTATGTACTCTTGTTTCTCTTCAAGATCCTATCATCAGCTCTGCAGTTGCAATGACTAATTAAAGTATAAAGTCAGCTAAAATGAACGCACAGCTGAATACACATCTTCTATGCTAAATTTCTTTTTTTTTTTTCCCCTGAGGTTCTTTCTGCACAGGTATTTTTCCCAAATGCTATGGGTGCTCAAAAGGCAGAAATACTATTTATAACTTTTGGTATGACTTGGGATAGATAAGATGCCGGGGGTAAATTTTCCACAAGTGGATTATAGTAAGTTTGTTAACAGAGAGTTTTGAAACTTCAATCTTGTTTTGTTTTACTCTTCTTCTTTTTGTTAACTACTTTGTTACTAATATAACTTATAGAAGACAGGTCAATAATTTGCAACTAGATTTAGTAGTTTCAAATTTTTGAGAGGGCCTGTTTCCCAGGAGTGGAGTGGGACACTAACGTTGTAGTTGTGTCAGGGGTGGGTTCTACTTACCTTTACTACCGGTTTGCAATGGGGCCGCACACGCTTGCTCACTTTGCTCTCTCGCACAGTCTTCTGCGCATGCGCAGAAGCGTTCTGACGACGTCAGGGTTGGTGGACGGAGCCTCCCTCTGGTTTTACTACTGGTTCTATAGAACCGGTCTGAACCGGGGGCAACCCACCACTGAGTAGTGTATTAATCAGTATTCAACCAGAGTGGATTGTATATGTTTATGTGTTGTTCTTGTTTTTAAACACTTTGATTGGTTTTTTGTTTTTGTCTTTTGTCTTTTTTGTTTTCTGTGTTGAGTTTTGTATTTTAACCTTGCCTTGAATAAAATAAAAATGTAGATAAAAAAGTGTAAACACAGTGTCCTCTGTGATTATCACTCAGTCAAGAACCACAATAATACCTATGGTGGTAGTTGTACTGAGTTTAAAGTCATGGCTCAGTTGATATTTTATGTACTTTCCCTAAGCCCTATTAAAGAACTATAAGTGAAGTGGTTCTCGTTTTCGGTCTGACAACCAGCTACATATTTGTACACTGTGTGCAGGAATTACAGACTCAAAAAAATAGCGTGTGGTTATTCACAGCTCTGTAGCTGCACAGGTGATCGTGAAAAGCAGCTTCAAAAAAAGAAGAAAGTGACCCATTATTTCCTGCTTGCAAATCCTTTCTCCCCTGCCTAAGACTAAATCAAAAGGGCAGGAAATGCTGCAAAAAAAAAAAAAAGCTATATAATGGAAGCTGGCAATTTGCATCTCTCTAAATCCAGCTTTGTGTCCACTGCTGTAGCTCTCTCCAAATGTATCATTAAATATCTCTTTACATTTCCTTCCTTGCATTTTCTTCCATTAAATTTCTTCTTCTGAGGCAGAAAATATGTAAAAACTGTTTTATAAATCCATACAGGATTGATATACAGGTAGTCCTTGACTTACGACCTCATTTGAGCCCAACATGCTGTTAAGTGAGACGTTTGTTAAGTGGGTTTTGCCCCATTTTACGACCTTTTTTGCCACAGTTGTTAAGTGAATCACTGCAGTTTTTAAATCAGTAACACTAATGTTAACTGAATCTGGCTTCCCCATTGACTTTGCTTGTCAGAAGGCCGCGAAAGGTGACCACATGTCCCCAACCGTCATAAATATGAGTCAATTGTCAAGCATCTAAATGTAAATCATGTGACCCTGGGGATGTTGCAATGGTCGTAAGTGTGAAAAATGGTCATAAGTCACTTTTTTCAGTGCTGTTGTAACGTTGAACAGTTACTAAATGAACTGTTGTAAGTGGAAGACTGCCTGTAGTTAAAACACCAAGAAATAATTTCCTCAAAGAAATCCAGTTGAAATTAAAAAATTCCACTTCCTTGCCTAATTCTTCTCATCTTTGCTCTCCTTGCAACGGCATTGGAGATAATCCATATCTTTTTATATAACTTTTAAAATCACTCCCGTTGGCAAAAAGTTAACATCCCACCCGGACGGAACATATTTAATTTGTGGAATATGGAAAGTCCAGCCTTATCGTAGAGCGAATTTGTGAAATGACAAAAAAAAAAAAAATAACAAAAATCAGGGAGCAGGTTGGAGAAGATAACCATGCACTGCACAAGCGAGCCCGATGATAC